AAGGCTTTGTCAAAATTTCAAGTAATTTTTTGCCTAAATTTATAAATTACTAACCTTTTTGTAAATTTGATAAACTATATTCAATTATGTTTCGAAATATATCACGCATTATTTTAGTGAAAAATAACTCTAATATCGCCGGTTGTAATATGATAAAAAATTAAACACGGTTTTGGGCAATCTATCTGTCCGTGCAATTTTAGGCTTCTTGAAAATCGCCGTATTAGACGGATGCTACTTGAGAGTCGAGGATGCACGCGAGTCAATGATTCGCTGATGAGCCTCGAGAACAAGCCGATTCATTCGCACCTGACGAACGGGTGAAAGTATCATCGTCGGTCGCGCCGACGCGAGTTTGCCGATAACGTTCGCACGCTCGAGAAGTTCAGCTCATTCCAGACGCATCGAAATTCGTAGTATCGCCTTGACCAATCAATTAATGAGCGTAGAGATGTTCACAAATTTCTTTTCGCTCTCTCTGACGCAACAATTGTGTATGTCGAGCTGTCTCTTGAATATGCACAAAGAAACTTGACGTGAAATCTGATTTGCAATTAACTACGTTGCCGAGTAGATTTAATTGAATTTAAAATTATGATACAAAATGAGGATCCAAAGCTGGTTGTTATTTGCTTATAATCTTCTTTATTCTTTTGAACGCTTTGAACAATCTTTTTCAACCATCTTCGATACATTGATTGCCCAATTATTACATGAATTGTACTAAAGTATATATTACAAAATCAATCTTTTAATATCATTGTCTGACCGTAAAACTATTTGTTTGAAACATACCTTGCATATTGTTAAATTGTACTCAATTACATTGTTATTTTTATCAATCGTTTTAATTAATGGCCAATCGCTGAAATTAACGCCAATCAGTTTTATTTATTGCAAATTACAATTGTTTGTCTAAACGTACCTCCGAGATTGCGGAAATCACTTTTCACACGTCGTTAGTGTGTCTAGTTGTCTGCGGACGATTGTGTGTATTTATGATGGATTGTAACGGTGGGAACAGCGGAAGGGATGGAAAAAGGTAATAACAGAAGAACTCAAAGCATTAGCAGCAAATTGAGCGAATAAGTTTTTTGGCAAGAGTTCAGTATCGCACTATTTGTTAAGTCTTTGATACTTTTGGACTTAATACATGCTTAATTTAATTAATTAAATTTGTCGAACAGACAGTAAAATACATTTTTTAAATCGGAGCGTTTCGAATTATCATTTTTATAATTAATAAGGATTTTGGAATGTCTTATAAACAGAATATTGTAAATGGAATTACAAGATCTTCGGTATATATTTTTTTTAAGCTCATTATTATTATTATTCGACTAATGCTAAATTATATCGCTCGAATTTTTTAATTAAAAAATCTCTTCGGATTATGGCCTTTTATTTGGATCGAAAAATTCGAAGAAACTTTCTTATCAGTCTAATAATATATAATTTGTGGAATTTTAAAAACTTTCGATTCGCATTCGCATCTCGAGAAAACCGGCTGTGCAGTGGACATCGGCGCTCCACGTAGCGCACGTTTGATTAGTCTCGGACTACAGGACGTTGTATTTCACAGGATATCCTACTTTCACCGGTGCGAGTGCATTACGCCTGGATTACGACTTCACGACAGGTCTTGGATGTCTCCTGAGCCAAAGATAGCTGCTTATTAGCCTATTAGTATGCGAACGGATGTCGCTTATGCATGTGAGGCCTCCGTCTTATCCATCGCGTAGTTTTACATGCAAAATATCTCAACTGTCGCTTTGCGCAGCCATCCGCGCGTATTCGATACCGTATGTCCTTTGAGGCGCAAAGTCTTTGAGAAGTTCAGCCAAACGATCGCTCATCCTCCGCTGACTGAAACTCGCACGTTCTCTCTGCACGCGCGTGCACGCGCGCGCACGCGCGCGAATGTATAATTTTCGCAAGTTAGCGACAGTGACCCGTCCGCAGCGGTCAAAGACTTTCTCGAATGTCGTCGTTAACAGGTACGATCGAATTCTCGAAGTCGATCGATGAACGCACCGGGACATCTAGCCTCTGGGAGTTGTCCTCGATCTCGCACGATACTCGTTCGATCGTGTCTGCGCAAAGATAATTTACGATCTATTTATTTCGACGTAACTCGCAGTTCTAAAAACGTAGAAAGTAAAATTCACATTGTGCTTTTGCAAGATTCTCAGCCTTTCGGAATATTTCTCTATTTCTCTGCGATAAAAATATTTCCTCAAAATTGCTTGAAATTGAATTTTCTAGAATGTCGAACAGTCGCGCCTCTGTAATCAGATTTCGTCCGCGGATAACTTCGTTATCAGCCGGAGCTCCCTCAGGGCCGTTCGCCGATCCGGGGAGAAAGCGGGGTATTCCGCGCGGGTGGGAGGGGGGGGAAGGGGCTGGTACGTACGTACGCATCCGCGTTCACGTGATCGTGGGAACGCAATTTCGACAGCTTCGCCGGTTCGATTGGGGCAGGTCACGACTGCCTGAGAATTGTTCCCGGCAGCTTCTTACGGGTGGCGAAACGGGAGCCCTTAGGGTGGCCAGTTAACAACGGTCTTTACGGCTCACTTTACAAGACATCGAGAGCGCCCGGCGTCGTAAAAGACGCATCGGTCCCTCGCTCGTATATTACGCGTCGCGTTACACGAATGGCTAGGTAAAGTTCTCCCAGTTTGTCAGGAAACGTAGTCACGTTACTGCCGCGCGCGGTGCCTGGTTTTATGTTTCGTCCGAGTACCGTAAACTGTACTTAGCGCAGTTATTCGCGTTATTCATGGCACTCTTAAATATATCGGCGCGTGTCGCGCAAATTATTTAATGCCCACTCCGGCAATATTTGCGCCGATGAATATTTCCTTCGCGGCTCTATTCATGCATCGAATTGAATAGCGATAATTCGGGAAAGGTATTATTTAATCGAGTCGATGTGATATTAAACACTACGTATATCTAGAAGATACTTCATAATGTACGTCTGCATAATATATAAATGCTGCATTGGCAGCGGAACAAGAGAAGTTGTAAAAAGAGTAACTTGGCACTGTTCACGGTGCTCTTTGGCACTTGGCCTCAGCAGACGGTTTTCGAGGAAGCTTGAAGGGATTTAGATATATAAATGTGTCGAATATTTAATCCCATCTTCGAGCTACTTTATCTTAAAGTGTCTTAAAATATATTTAAAGTTAACTTCGAGTTTCCTTCTATCTTCACGCTAATTATTTATTTCCACTTCCGAGCGTACAAGATTTAGAACAAACATTCAGGATTTCGAATCGGGGCAAATTGTAAACATTTTATCAAACCGGATATGTATATGTATAAAAAAGATCGATAAGTCTGAAGGAAAACTTTTCTTCGAATGATGAAATTAATAAATTCGACCGAACCCGATATCATTTCCGTTCGTTACACTTTGCACATGTCGCGTGGAGCAGCAAATAACTCTTATTACCACGTGAAACTAATATTTTATCCTATTATTATTACGCTCGACCGTAGGACAATACCGTGGATTTTATTCCGCGCCATCGAGCAGATATTGTTTCCGCGCGCGCGTATTTACACGATTGTAATTAATGTCGAGCATCATCCTGCCCATTGATCGTATCGGCCAACTGTGCTCCGGATAGCCAATTAGGTGAATTAATTACAATTCACGATGGCGCGCCGCAGCTTTGAGCGCGATGAGGAGCGCGATACTTGGCGTCCACCAGCACGGACGCGCGTTTACTTCGCGTACTTCGCGGATGAGAGAAAAAATCTTTCCGATGAGTAACGACATGCGCTTTTTTTTTTTTTTTTGAATGTCGAGTACGTAAGATTTATTTGTCTCTCGAAATAAAAGTGTCACGGGTTCTCTCCGTGGCGTAAAAACGCCCGCCGTAAATCGATTTCCGCGATCTGTTCGTCGACGTGTATCGAATCGTCGAGGCTGGTAGTATCGGGATCAATTCAGCGGATGTAATACGTACAGTATTTTACTCTATCATATTCTCGCACGCGGTTATTTGTTGGGAATAGAAATCGGTAAAAAGCGTGAAGCGAGTCTCGATAAAATCGACAATTTGCGGCGCGCTTTGTAATCTTTCTATTAAGGTGATCTCTCTATCATTACGGATTACAAGCAAAACAGATAGTGATCGATTTCTCAGATCCGCGCTTTAATATGAGAACTCCGGTAGCAGTCACTTTAACCGTTTCCGATCTTTAGCATTGTGCCATTCCGTTCTAAATAATGATATATTTAAAATTAAAAGTGTGACAAGGCTCGAATGATTAAAACAATCAACTAAAATCAAACAGGAGCGAACAAAGAGCCAGAATGCAAGATCTTCGCGCGAATGATTATATAATCATATTAGAGAAAGTACAATATTTATTTACAAACGCTTCGGCCTGACATCAGGCCTTCTGCAGTGTACAATAATAATAAATAACAGTCGCACGCAATAATTTAGCGAATAAAATAACGTGAATCGTATTAAAGCTTGAGATACGCAGCGCATAAATTTTAGCAGGATCAGCGAATGACACTAATTCATTGCAATAAAAAAATTCCTTTCATCTTTATTCGCTGATCCCGCTAAAATTTATGTTGAAATTTTAATATGATTTACGTTATTTTATTCGCTAAATTATTGCGTGCGACTGTTATTTATCATTATTGCACACTGAAGAAGGCCGGATGTCAGGCCGAAACGTTTGTAAATATATTGTACTCTCTAACATGAATACATAATCTTTCGCACGAAGATCTTGCATTCTGGTTCTTTACGCTCCTGCATAATATATTTACGTATACGTAATTTTTTGAAATTTTTAATCTTTTTCAATTCAAGCAGTAGCACTGTTAATATTTTTATAATATTAATTAATGCAGCTAATCAAGTATAACGAAATAACTGTGCGGTTCTAATGTCAAATCATTCGTCGGATGAGAAAGCCGCGCGATACAATTAGTCGGCGGCTAATCTAATTCCTCGCTGTTTCAGACGATGCTGAGATCGACCGAGCTGCCCAGGTGGCTGCTGTTGGCGGGACTTTTGTGCTGCTCGTCCTGCCAGAGCGTACCGTTTTCCTTCGAGAATAAACCGGTAAGTTTTGAAAGACCGTCCTCGTTCTCGTGTGTCCTATACGTGACGCGACCGCTACGTGTTTCGCGAAATATTTTCCATCAGGCGAATTCGAGCTCGAGGAAATAGCGAGTCTGCACGTGTTCAATGTCGTAGCGTCTCCCGCGTCGTTCCGTCATTATTTTTGTAAAGTCTCGTGAAAAATTCATTCGTGCGAATTCAGTTCTCGGTAAGAGCCTTACTGTTCCGTTTCAAGTATTAGATGGTAATGCAGGAAGAAGTCCCAGGGATACATGTCGCATTACTTCAACATGCTGTTTTAGTAAAACAAATTGAAGCTTTCTTTCTTCGAGACTCCATACATAATGGACGAGGCCGAAGGAGAGATTTTTATTATAAAGCGAGACAATAACCCGGATAACTGTTTATCGTGAAATCAAGCGTATAATCTTTAATTATCAGATTTTTCAAGAACTAAATGAAATCAGCGCAGCGTGTGTTGAAAATAAAGCTGAAAATCTGATAAATCTAATGGCAATATATTTTCAAGTAATTGCGATTGTTATTCGTGATGCAATCACCGCGCGTTTTCCCGCACGTCTTTTCGGCGATTTCGCCATTCTGTTGTACGACGAGCTTATCTATTGGATCGCGTCTGAAATGCAAGAACCGTGACTAGCTCTGCGGGTACTTCGATCGCCGTACTGCGGGCATGGAAGCTGCGGGAAAAAGGACCCGGAGCTGGCACGTCGAAGAGCGCGACTTTGCGTCGCGACGCCGTGACGCTGCTGTTGCGTTCAATGTCCCGGTGGGAATCCGATTTTCTACTATTTGGACCGGAAATTTGATCTCTCAGCGGCGACCGGCGGCATGGCGACTCGGCGCAAGTTAATTCGAAATATACGTATTATCGTGTCAGGTCAGTCGGTCACTTCGCGCTTTTCTTTCTGAAAAACAATACGTCGATGGATTTGCCGCGAAATATCTCGTCCGTCTGTGAGAAATTTTTCGATTAAAGTACCACAAATGTTTCTATTTCGTCTGAGCGCTTATATACGTCTGCGTGAAAAATAACCATTCTCGCTCTCGATCTTTATCCGTTTTTGACGCATTGCGGTAAGATGATGTAAAGTGAGACCTCTGATCGGCGAGTATAAAATGAAAATGCCGCTGTGACGAAATTTTGCCGGATTTATTTCCTCGTGAATATTTAATTATTAATTCTGCCGATTTGAATAAAAAGTCGCGATCGATTTATTATCATTATTGGCAAAGATGATGGAAGTTGGAGTGATTAATCAAGCTGGCTGTATCAATTCAACACGTTCGTTTCATTCGCAAACTGACAAACTATCAAACATTGCTAATATGATCTTTAACATCAATCTTAATCAAAATTACCCGCGCGTAATGCGTGTACATACGCGTATGCGTCTCCACGCGCGTATCAGTGGGGCGGGTCAGTGGGTCATTCTACTCGGTACTGAAAGACACTCACGCGAAGATACGCAGGCAAGCCTGAATGTGTCTTCGATTAATTCATGTGTTCGTGCGATGCGTTCGAATCGAGAGTTAAAGAGTTTTCGATATGGTAAATGCATAATATCTATTTAAGAAGCGGAAGGACGGAATAAGAAAGTTAGTGGGTTTTTAAGCAAATCGTCAAACACGATTATTTACACGATATTGTGAATTCAAATTACAATAAAAATTGCTGCAAATATACGTAAACAATTCTTTCAAAATAAAAGTCAAGTACACTTTTATTGTGCAGCAAATTTTTATTTGATTGTATTTATCTTTATTAAATTATTTTAATAAAGATAATTATTGTTAATTAATTAAATTTAATTAATTTAATTTAAAATCTTGGAAGTGCGTATTTATGATTCTCGACTTTTACAAGCTTTTTGTGAAAACGCAAGTTTTTTGTTTTTTTTTATTTCTTAGATGCAGTAATCATTTCATATAATAATTATTTCTTTGAAGTAGAATATTGAACACATTTCAAAATTGCTATGATATTCTAACATTTCAATTTGAATATCAAATTTATTAAAAATGTTATTGTTTACTGTTATAGAATGCGGCAAACGAATAATTAAATTACCACGGAAAATATTACGAAAAGGCAAAAGACGTTCAATTGCGATCTTTGGGGGTTTAAGCGAGAGGTTCCGCCTTTAAATAACGTAAATTGCAATTTTTAATTTACGCCACGTCGGGACAACGCGTCGGGAAACGGCGTCCTAGCAGATTTCTCGCGCCTCGCCATCTCTTACCGAGCGTTGTTCTACTTTCAAACGACGTCGCCTGACACAAAAGTGCGAGAAAATAAGCGCGTCGCGCTTTTATCGTGCGCGCTCACAATGGCCAACTTTGCATTTAACGTCCCCCCTTAACCTTTGCACCGCTCTGTCGAATGCGGCTGCGAGCAGCTCGCCGAGCCGGCATTCTCTGTTTCGTACATCGTGCTCGTTGACCCGCGGGGAAAATTCGCCAAGAACATGATTAATCCCTCGGCTGCGCTCTTTCGCAGCGGCATTCGCGAATATGGCGTCTATTGTCCGCCGTACTTTTTGTATAATTGACGCTAAGGTCGCGTCTCTGCGATATTTTCGCGTCGAGATACACGGACATTTTTTCGTCGTGGACATATATTGGAAATTGGATGAAACATGAAAGCGCGACGGACGAATTAATAATGAGACCCGGAAAATCGACGGGTGTGCAGAAATTTTGCGCTGATTGCCGGCTCAAAAATTGAAATAACCATTAACCGTGCGTTTTGCTACGTTCAACTTTTATAAAAAGCGAGCATACAATATTCGAGTCCCCGCGCGTCAATATAAATATACAGGGCGTAATCGTCGCCCTTCGATTTTCCGGATCGACATTTCCGTAATTTGCGCTGAAAGCTTCAATGACACCGCAATCGGAAAATCCGGGTGTATCATCCGGGTGATATCACCGCCCGGTGTTGGCGTTCGCGGCGCGCGCGTAAATTCGCGTCGCGCGCCGGTGAAGCGTGGTAACGTTACGCTCAGGCGTACGGCGCGGGCATATCGCTGGACTCGGACGAGAGGTACGAGAAAGGGGGGGGGGGGAAAGAGAATTAAAAGGGAGGAGATACGACCGCACGTTTTATACGCTCGATTTCATTCGGCATTGTACCACTTCCCAGCGACAAAAGCAGCACGAGAACGCGGGAATATGTGTCGCATAAGCGTAATACGTACAAACGAGCGGGAAAATAGTCCCACGCGTAGACCGTAACGCAGGTGGAAGTATAATAACGCTTTCGGTGGCTTTATGCATTCGTATCGCAGCTATATTTGCTTCTCACGCTTTGTTCGGGTTACGGAGAGATTTTACCACTTCTCTCTCTTTCTCTTTTTTCTTTTTTTTTACATTGTGCTCAGACGTCGCGAGATTGCATGGAATTACACACCGAGATAGAGATTTGTTAACAATAAAGTACAAATTGTATGTCTACTCTTTGACTCGGCGACTTTGAGTGAAATAAATTGTAAGTGGAGTTGCACGATGTGAAATGTCAAATCTTTTCATCAAAGCTTTACGAATTATTTAACAAAATTAATGCGGACGTAATTCGCGAAATTTCGGAATTTCGCTCTGGATTCGCGGATTGTGTCGGTGTGCGCACGCCGGTTTGTTACATCATTGCTTTACACCTCGGGCGAAATTCTCGCGAATCGGGATATACATTTGCATAATAGGAAGAAATAGCAGCTTTGTCACATTTTATCTAGCCGGCTCGCTCGCTCAGTTCTCGCATTCATGCCCGTCTCAATTGAAGCCGGGAGATACAGCACGCGTTTCTTCAGTCGGCGCGCGTAACGTCACTTTATTCTCAAACAATGACACGCGTGAAGCTCGACATAAAACTACAGAGAGAACAACGCGTCGCTTTTTTCAGTCGACTTTTAGTATCTGCGTTGAACTTTCCTTTTTACGCCCGCTGCTCCGCGCTCGCCGTCCGTAATTCTTCGCCTTTCTCGCAAAAGCGAGCCTTTGGGCGAAGTTACACGCCGAGTGTGTCCCCGTTCGCCTATACTTCCTCTTTTCCCGATTGTCGAGAATTTTAGGGCGCGGGACGGCGTGTGCTCTCTCGGTGATTAAAGGCACCTGAAAAAAGTTTTCGCTTTCGGCGCTTGATAAAAGAAAGCGCCGCTCGATATGAGCAGAAACAGGGATACGTGACTGCGAAAATATGAACGCGAGATAAATGTCCGTTTCTATGATTCATGGCCTCGCCGCCGATGTGTTTTCGGCGGGCAGCGGCTTCGCGCGAGCCGCAACAATAAATCTCGGAAGAAAACTCGCTACGAGTCCATTACTGCGCCGCGACCCGCGCGAGGCTCTTAACCTTAATGAATCTTTGCTCGGTTGTCAACCGGTAGTGCATTTCTTTCGAAAATAGCCCACCACTCGGATGCAAGTGAACCACGAGGACGTTTTCCTCTTTTCAGCGTGACGTGAGACGCGCCGAGATTGAAAGGAAAAAATTGCCGAAGGGCGTTTGCGCGCTTTCGCATGAAATTTTTAACACAGCGCTTGTGTGCACAGTTGTCTTATAAATATGTAACTTGTAAGAATAATCTTTTTGAATTTTTGCGCATTTCGCAATCCAAATATTTCCCGACACTCGCGAATATATCGCGATCGTTGTTCGTCGGCTGTAATTGATATAAATTAATCATGCGACGTTGGAAATATTTATTCGCGAAATTTCAATATTATCTCTATTCCGAGAAAGAGAGACAGTTTAATATGAAGGATGGACACGACATTCGCATATGCATTAGGACGAAATTTACAAAGGGGCGAAGATTTAAGTGCGGGACGCGCGATTCGCGCGGCAGAGATTCGAGCGAAATCATCCGGGCGCGTAATATTCCCCGAGAAATTACTTAGGCGTCACCTGTCCCCTCACCTGTGAAATATATGCGCGCAAAACTGCGGAGGTCGCGGGATCCGGCCGTGCATTATGCAGACCGGCAACGGACGCGGGGCGGCGGGAGAGCGCGAGCCGGTAAGAGCTCTGACCAGCTCTCGTGTCGCGCGCGTATATTCGCCGGGCATGACACATGTATTTATGCGACATGACTGGAGAGTGCTGGCGCCTGCGGGCTGCCGTGCAGCCGCGGGACATTCCGGCGCGGCGTCTCGCATTTTCGTCCTGACGACGCTCGTTCGTACCGCCGTAATGAGGCAGGAGAGTGACAGGCAACTCGAACATTCGCACGTTGTGATTAAGGTGTCACGCCGCGCCGACCGTTACCTCCGCGCTTCATCATTCCTTTTTCCCGCCTTCGTTATTTCGTAGCTAAATTTTATTACGCTCATTTGCAGCTCGCGTCTTCGCAACGAAATTGAAATGGGATCTTATTTACGACATTTTTATTCGTACGAACTCACGGCCGTGACGTGTCGATGAATTCGTGGACGGAGACGCGTGTATCTTACATTATTGAATTTATTGCAAATTTATGTCCTCGATCGATCGTCGAAAGTCCGCTTTGAGCGCGCCGCGCCGCGCTAACGTCGCACCGTTACTTCCCGCGGAGCCGCGCTCGAGAACTTTTTATTCCCGTTTCGAAGGTTGTCACGGATGAGCATCCGTCTCGATTACGACGGCGAGATTTCTCCCGGTCGCGCGGCACTCGAGATGTCAGTGGCACTTCCGTCATTCGCAGAGCGCATTATGCATCGCCGCTTACACACAGCTAGACTATGCACCTGCGGCCGTCTACCGCGTTTACGGCGCCGAGAGACCGTAGAGAGAGAGAGAAACGTCGATTGCCTCGATAATGCCGGAGAAAACGCGGCGCTCTCGACCCGACTATTATCGGGACGGGACGTTTTCTCGCGAGATATTGGGCGTACGCGCGCGCACCGGAGTCTTCCCGCCGTGAAGCAACATCCGACGGCCAATTACGGTGACGCTACACGCTCGAGTCTCGGGAACGAAAACGTTGCCATTATTCTTCGGCGACTCAAGCACTCGCGAATGTTGTCGCGGAAAGTGGGCGAAGCTTGGAGAAAATTAGCCGCCTAGAGAAGCCGGGACGCTTTCCGCCGGAGAGTCCCGCTTCCGCTGATTGCCGGTGCTATTCTCTCATAAATCGCGGGACAAGGCGGGATCATTGCCGCACTTGACGAACGATCGTCCGGGCTAGCAATCACGGCACGGCAACAACCGATCGTTACGAGGCGCGCACCGCGCCGATGTGTCTCACTTAAACGCCGATGTCCGTCAACGTTCGAGGTATGCGAAGCGAGGCGTTCCACACGTCGCCCCGTCGACGTTGAAAAGAGGCGCGTCTCTTCTTCGCGGCGGGGCTTCGTTAAGAGACTCTCTTTCTTCACTTCGCGAAGAAGAGACGGGGCCTTCATCGCCGCGCTCGTTTCGCGGGGCTGGCTACGCTGAAATGCTCAGATACGACGCGACATGAGTTGCAACTTCTTAACAGGATCCTCCTCCTGCCGTGACGTACAGGGAAGCGGATGTGCACGGGGTGAACTACTTAACATTATCATCTTGGGTGGCTGTACGCGTCCGCTCGCATCGCGCTCCAACAGAAAAGTAACATTGTTTCTTCACGCGAGAGACTTTGGCTACATTGGATGGGCTTTCGTCGGGGATATTTAAATCCCTTTTCCTCCAACGACATTGTATAATCTTCTTAACCGAGTAATAATAATAATTCAATTAAATATTATAGCCCGATCTGTTTATAAAGTTTGTTGAAACAAGAATGCTTAAAATATCCTTCGCAGCAATTATTCCGCGCGATAAGCTGGATTGTTCATTTAATCTTGGACAATTTAATATATATATCGGACGTTACGTCGAGCGGTGAGTAATTTCAGATAAAAGTCCATCGTCTGGAAGTGCATTTTCCCCGGAATATCGACGAGAGGTCGTATCGCGGGTCGTCGCGATATCGAAAGACTCGCCGCCGTGCATGTATACGACGTCGTCTGACTTGACGACGGCGTTAAACCGAAAGCGCGGGCGAGCGTAGACAACGGCGCTCGCCGAGTATCACGTATTCAAGATGGGTATAAATTTCTACGACACACGGCTATCCGCGCGCGCGCGTTTATCGATTCTCATCGGAGCGGCCGCGTGTGCACCTAGCGTCCCATAAATTTATGCAGCCTAGAGAATCGTGACGCCGGCAATGCCGGTAGGATAAATCAATCGGACGAGCGAGCGAGCGAGAGAGAGAAAGAGAGAGAGAGAGAGAGGAGGAGAGAGAGAGACGGAGAGAGAGAAGAGGCCCATTATAAAATTAAGAACAATTAATCACGACGACGGGGCTCATTATTCAAGGTATCAAGTTCTCGTTTGTGCGCCGCGATGCGAGTATAATTGGCAACTCTCTCTCTATCGCCGCTCGTCCGGCCGGTGCCGCGCGTCATTGTGAGAGACGACGTTTAAGATCGTTATCGTTGAACCCGCCGGCGCGCTGAACCCCGCCAGCTTTAATCGGTCACGACGACCCCCTCGAAATTTCTGTTCGCAGGCGGCCAGAATGACAGCCGGCCGCGGATATTCTCGCCCAGGATGGACTACGACGAGTGGACGCCGCTGGGACGCGGCGATCCGCTGAAGAACAACCCGACCTACGACTACGTGCCGCCGGTGCTCGATCGGGTGCAGTACTGGCTGGACTCGCAGCAGCACACGACGGAGCCGTCGTCGAAGCGCGACATCCTCGTGCTCGGCGTGACCGCGAAGAAGACCAGCCCGAAGATACCCGAGCAGTTCCTCAAATTCGTCGACGGCCCCAAGTTGACGCGCACCGGCGGCCAGGTTGACGCGGCGTCCTACAGAAACGACTTCACCGGCAGCACCGGCGCCGAGCCGCCCAAGGTCCTACGCACCACCAGCTTCCGCAACGGCCTGGTCGACTACAGAAGTCAGAACAGCCTGCAGTCGCTGCCGGCCAGCTACTATCCGAGCCCGTATTACAGCCAGAAGATGAAGCCGTACACGATGATGATGCCGCCGCCGTTGGTGCAGAAGGCCGAGACGTCCACCGGCTACAACGTCGGCGCGTACAAGGACAAGCTGATCGGATACGTGGACGCGTCCGTGCCGCCGTACAGCACGCAGACGGAGGAGGGCCCGGTGCTGCAGGACACCCAGTACTACGGCGCGCCCTCGAAGAATTACGGATACTACTCGTCCGCGCCCTTCTCGAGGCCGTTCTCCACGTCGAAGGCGCCGCCGAGCAAGCTCGAGATCGTGAAGAGCGCGCCGTCCGCGTCGCAGAGCACGAAGACGAGATACGAGGCGACGACCGCGGCGCCGTCCGTGTCCTTCGAGAAGTCGAATCTCATCTATCAGTCGACGCAGACGTTGTCCGGCGGCTGGCTGGTCAACAACGGGCCCACGTCCTCCACCGGCTTCCCCCCTGCCAACCAAGTCACCTGGCAGACGCCGGATTATTCCAGAGACCACTACGAGGTCGATCATCACACCGCGGCGTCGTCCAATCACGAGGTCGTCGTCGGCCAGAACGCGAACATCATTGTCGACGTGAACGGCAACGAGAACGAGGAAGTGGTCGTGGGTCAGAAGGAAGTCAGCACCGAGGCGACGTCCTCGACGTCCGAGAGCGTCACGCAGACGTCCGCCGCTTCCACCACGACGACGGATTCCGGCGTGCGGGAGGAGGAGGAGGAGGAGGAGGCCGTGACCGACGCGCAGACTTCGCAAAAGATGCACATTGTCGTCGCCAACTCGCCGTCCAGCTTGACGATGGATCTGGAGACGCACAAGGCGAAGAAGGGCCCGGTCTCCGTGGTGCTGCCGACGAATTACGTCGAGAGGAACTCGTCATCGGCGATGACGTTCCACGGCGACGCTTGGGAGGATCCGGCGACGTCCGAAATGACGAAGACGACTCATCAAGCGGGGAAATCGCAGCCGCAGCCGGCGCGCAACGCCGCGACGAGCTCGCCGCCGCCGATCCCGACGGAGGATCGTTTCACAGTTTCCTCCGTGCCGAACAGGATGCTCTCGCAGATCACCCATCAGCCCTCCCATTCGCCGTCCGCCTCGGTCATGCCGACCAGACAGCACGTCGGCGCTGGCCCGCACATGTTCGTCCCGCCGCAGGCGGCCTCGCAGTCCGTCGTGCGTCCTCAGAGCAGACCGAATCACGCCATGATGCACTTGATCGGCAGCATGCGCCCCGGCTTCCGACCCTCTCCGCCGGCGTCGATGTCGCACATGTCGCCGCCGATGGCGCACATGCACTCGCAGCCCATGAAGAGCATGATAGCGCCGTCGCCGAGCATGGAGCAGCTTCATCAGCGGCCTCTCCCGCAACTGTTCCCCGTCACTTTCACCAATCCACCGTCGACCCTGGGCACGCACGCCACCGGGCCCGACGAGCAGCCGATCGATCCGCACCGGCCGTCTCGACCGCCCGCGACGATCGTGCGCCCCTCAGCGTCCACCACCGCTCCGTCGTTCGCGCCGACAGCCGCGTCGGCCGTGGAGTACACGTCCACCATGGGCACCGTGGACCATCGGGAAAGCACGCGGACCGATCGGTCGCCTCTGGTGAAGATTCTCAATGCCGAGGAGATGCCGAGAACGACGCCCGCCGCGCCGTCGTCGACGATTCCGCCGCGGACGACGACGCCTCCGAGTCTGACCACCGACCCGATTTTCTCGCACTACAAGCAGCCGGCCAAACCGATCCGCGGCCCGATGTACCTCATCATACAGGGCCACTCGAAGGTGAAGACCTACGGGCCGACAATCGCGAAGCACGACGCGCCGGTGGAGAACAACGAGATAGCGGAGAGCGCGACCGAGCGGCAGCTGTCCAAGCTGGAACAGCTGATCCACGACAACACGAAGAACGGCGCCGTCGACCTGGCCGCCGAGAAGAGGAAGCTCGAGGAGAAGGCGCGCGCCGAGAAGCTCGTCTCCTCGCGCCCGGAGACTCTCATGAGCCTGGTCGAGAGCGGCCTGAGCGGCTTCACCGTGTCGCCCGCGACGGAGGATGAGCGTCGCGCGTCCAACTCAGTCACGAGTATCGAGATTAATTAAAGACCGGCGCCGTTCGCGACGGCTCTCCTAGCGAAGAGAACGAAGCTTGGCAAGCGGATGCTAGGACGCTGAGGACGCCCGCGAGTTTAAGGAGTCCTCGTTGCGCGGCGGCAACGCGGCCGCCGTTTTCTAAGTAGGGATGAAATCTTCTTAGGAACGAATTCGTTGCTTGTACGATCGCGGCTCACACCGTGGGTCTTTGGATGACAAGAAAAAAAAAAAAAGTAAAGTAAAATAAAATTGATAGCGGAAAGAGTCGTCGGACACGCAAATGGGCGTCGAAGTTTCATGGCTGACCCTCGTAGTATCTGTTTTTTTTTCAACGTGAGAGCTATCTGGAGAGATACGTGTAAATTCAACACGCTGGCACGAAACGAGGTATCGAGAATTTACGTTATTATTTATTTTATTTATCGTTCCGTGATATTGAGTGCCTCTATATATGTTTTTTTTTTTCAATTGCCGCTTCTGATCAACCCGAGCGATTTATTATATTTTGTAGATTTACAGATAACGATTGAATTGCATTACGATGTGCAGAGACGGGCTACGAATATATATTTATCATATTTAATAATTTATTTAAATTATTGAGGATAATGCGATGCTTGATCGTTAGATATAGTTATTACGATTGTTATATATTAATGAATATTTTATGATTATTTTGAATAATTTCATTTCCAGGTAATTTATTATTTATTTCACTACGTATAAGTTATGTACACCGTTTAATTCATTTCATTTCTCGTATGCTGTAATGGCGCATAAAATCTCGTGACAAATGTCGACGGTCGACGATAATTTGATCAACACGTCGAGACTATAATCGTGCAACAATCGAGAGAATTCGAAGCAATTAGCGATGCGATTAATGACGTTTTCCATCTCCGCGTCGTGACTCACCCGCGCGCGCCACGCAGGATGGTCACAAATTCGCGCGCGCGTTCCGCGCGTATCGCGGATTTTTTTGCGAAAAACCTGGAATTAATTTTTGTATCGGAAAAAAAATTATTTTCAGATTCCTCGTGAAATCGCGGCGTCGGAACTGCGCGCGAATTTGCGACACCAATTCGCAAAACTTTTCCAGTCGCATATATGGAAACGAAAAAAAACAAAAAAATCGCTTTTGTATCTCGGTGATCGTCGTGTCAACGTTTCATGCTTTCATGGTATTTTAACTGATCGTGATCGGCGATTGTCATTCGCGACGATGACAAGTTCTCGCTGTCGTCAGATAACAGAGGCTCAACCAGGCAGTTCTCTCCCACGTCCTGCCACGCTTTCATCCACAATGAAGAAAAGCGCGCCAATTTCATATGTGCCAGTATACATAATATTACATACATACTAGGTGCGCAACTAAGTTTCCGGGTTTTTTTATCAATGCAAAATGGAAAATTTCAAGAGAAATACAAAAAACGATTTATTCAAAGTATCGTCCCTCGCTAGCTACACATTTTTGCCATCTCTCTGGCAATACATGAATACCGCGACGATAAAACGATGCGTCTTTGAATCGAAACCATTCATCCAACCAGTTTCGCACTTCTTCGAAATTGGCCAAGTGTAGCCCAGCCAAGCCATGCGCCATCGACCGGAACAAGTGATAATCGGAAGGGGCCAGGTCTGGTGAATACGGCGGGTGCGGTAGCAGATCCCATTTCAGCGTTTTGATGGTGTCCTGGACGATGGAAGTGCGATGGCACGGAGCGTTGTCGTGCTGCAATATCACTCGTTCGTGTCTCGTGTCCCATTCTGGCCGTTTTTCGAGCAATGCATGGTTCAAATTTATCAATTGTTGTCGATAGCGATCCCCATTGACAGTTTCGCCCGGTTTCAGCAGCTCATAGTACACGATTCCTTTCTGGTCCCACCAAATGCAAAGCATTGTCTTCTTTCCGAAGCGATTTGGCCGTGCCGTCGATGTTGATGCTTCGCCAGGTAAAAGCCACGATTTTTTGCGTTTGGGATTCTCGAAATATATCCACTTCTCATCGCCAGTAACAATTCGATGCAAGAAACTCTTTCTTTCATGCCGCAAAAGCAAAATTTCGGAAGTGGCTCTTCGATATTCCATCTGTCTCTCAGTCAACTCATGCGGCACCCATTTTCCTTCTTTTTGAATTTTTCCCATGGCATGTAAACGTTTGGAAATACCTTGGCGAGTCATGTTTAATGCCTCCGCAAGTTGATCTTGTGTTTGTGTATCATCTTCATCCAATAACGTTTGCAGATCGGCGTCCTCAAATGTTTTTGGTCTTCCGGAGCGCTCCTTGTCCTCAGTGTCGAAATCGCCACTTCTGAAGCGTTTAAACCAATCTTCACAGGTAGTTTTCGATGGTGCATGTTCGCCGTAGGCTTTTTCAAGCAAACGACGTGCTTC